TGCTAGGGACATAATAAAAAAACATGTAGATATGGATCAACTCCTCCATGAATTAGTGTCTCTCCAGAAACAGACTCTAAATGATGAGATACTTTGAAACATGTAGAAAAGCCAACATACTTTTTCACAACTCCCAACCCAGTCACAGTGCCTTACAATCAGGAAGGAATCCCGAAACTCTCACATTCTGAGTGAAAAACGTGGACCACACATATAGCTCCCCAACTATTATGGTTCACACCTGATGGTTTGTCTCTTAAATCATCACGTTCTAAGAGTAGAAGAGACTTGCTAATGCAAGTTTCCCTGCAGGACAGAGAACAAAGGATGCAAGCACTTCAATGGTCTTCTGTTTTCAGGGTTACTGAGAAAATGAGCTAAAAGGCCTAACTTCCTACTTACTCCTTCGAAGCTGCTTACCGGCACACTTTCCCAGATAATGCCTTGCCTTCCTATATCCCAGGTCCTAACAAACTTTAACAATTTTAAAAGAACTGAAATCAAATGAAGTATGTTGTCTAAATGGAAAAAAAAAAAACCACCACCAGAAAAATGACTAGAATAACCTCTGAACAATTAGAAATTTATAAATTTCTCCTTGTATCAGGGAAAATTAGAAAATATTCTCAATTTTAAAAAAGGAAATTATAACAACAAAATTTGGGAGATAAACATATGTGCTTAAAGGCAAATTTATGGCATTATATCTTTTTGCTAGAAAAGCATGAAATCAACCAGCAAGCTATTATAAGAAACTAGAAGAGAACCAAAAAAAAAAGCCCAAGGCAAGTAGAAAGGAATAAATAATAAACTTGTAACAAAAACCGACATGATATCAATAAATGTACAGGCTAGTTCTTTGAAAACAGCTATACAATTAATAAAACTCTATTTAGATTGACATGACAAAAATTACCAATATCAGAACAATGGAATATCACTGATGCCAATGACACAAGACAAAGAAATAATACAAACAATTCTACACAAATTGAACAATTCAGACAAAATGAACCAATTTCTTAAAAATCACAAAACTTACCCCAATAGATCACTGACTTTGCTCAGTAACAAAATTAAATTCACAGTAAAAATATTTCTCAAACAGAAATTTCTATACCCTTGATGTCAGTGACAAATTTTACCAAATATTTAAATACAAATTCTACATGGCTTCTTTCCAGAAAATGGAACAGGATGGAATACTCCCAACTTACCTAATTTTGACTCTAAAATTACAAAAACACTACACAGCCCAATATCCTTTATGAAAAAAGTATAAAATAATTATCAACAAAATATTAAAAATTTGAATCCATTAATATAAAAAATTCAAATAGAACCCAACCAAGGGAGAACCTGCAAATGTAAGGCAGACATCAATAATCAAAAGTCAATATGAACCACCATCTTAACAACCCCTAGGAGGGAAGAGAACATTACCAGTCATACAGAAAAAGCACCTGACAAAATTCAACATCTGTTCATGATAAAAACATACAAGCCTGGTGTGGTACAATACACCAGGAATTACCAGCACTCTTGGAGGCTGAGGCAGGAGGATCATGACTTTGAGCCCAGCCTGTGTGATTTAGTGACTTAGCAAGACCATTATCTCAAAATAAAGAAATAAAAGGGGCTGGGAATATAGCTCAGTGCAATGATCTTGGTCTCAATTACCAGTAACCATAATAAACAAATACACAAAATTTAGAACAAGCAAAATAGAAGGGAATTCCTTCAGTCTCATCGAAGTTTTTTTGTTTTTTTCAAAAACAAAAAAACTAGTTACATCATATTAAGGGTATAAGACAGTGTTTCCCCCTCTGCAACTGGAAACTGGAAGTAAGGCGAGGATTTTCTCTCTTACCAATCCTTTTCAACACTATGGTAGTTCTAGCCAGTGTGTTAAGGCAAGAAATAGAAAAGGCACACAGACTGACAAACATCAAAATTACAAAAACCAGCAAACCAAACAGATCTCTCAATTAGAGGATAAAACACTTATATTCCTTAACAAAAGGAAAATTTCTGACTATGGTAAAAAGAATTATTCCAGTTGGGTCTAGAATCTCTATTATACTTTTAATTATGGAAAGTTTACTTTATATACTAGGATATTCATTATTGCATTGACAATGAATACTAAAATTCAGATTATAAAAATTGGGTTAAAACAACACAAAAGAATTAGGAAAAAAGGAAGTTAAATATATAAACATATACAGTACTTCCAAATATAAAAATAAAGCTTGTGATAATAGCAGTAGAATATTTTTAAGTACACAGAGATTTGTTTATAAAAATATAAGGTATAAAGGCTAAAAAGATGAAAAATACTAGAAAAATTCATGGCAACCAAGAAAATAAGGCATCAAACCAAAAAAGAGATAAAATGTAAATAAAATTAATTTAGGAATGAATTTCAAAGAATGATGCATAACAATGTTTTGAGAAAGAACATATTAAATTTGGCCATATGGGGAAGAATGCTTTTATGTGATTTGACAATAAATAAGATATGATACTAAAGGCAACAACAGCAACAACAACAACAAAAAAACTAATCAAAATTTAAAAACAATCAACAGCCCAAAGCATAGAGGAAGATATTTGCAAGTCATATACTTGGATATAGAGTTAATATCTAGCATAAAACAACTCTTACAACTCTATAAAAAAATCCTCTAAACCTCTTAAAAATGGGTAAAGTGCTAGGTATACATAGCTCAATGCAACAGCACATTCTTAGCATGCATGAGGCCATGTGTTTGACCTCCAGCATTGGGGGATAAACTGGCATTGTGACTCCCTATATCCAGAGCATATTTTGAAAGAATTAAATGTGATTAACACATTCATATTAAACCTATCACTTAATGTCTCCAAACTTAAATGATAAACACACACAAAGGTTGAGAAGCAATTAAAAAATATATTGTGAATTCATTTTTACCATCAGAAAGAATCAAGAGCAATTACTAGACTTTAGGAAATCACATAATTAATCTGAATTCTTAGGAAAATTCCACTTATATAACTATTTTTAGGATGCAAAAGAGAGGATGCCTTCTGAAATTTAAGGAAATGTGATTTTACTCAGACTACATTTTTAAGTCATTTTTAATTTTTGAGGGGTGCTGCAGCTGGGTATCTGAACTCAGGGGCTCAAACATGCTAGGCAAGCACTCTTAATGGGGGTTGGAGGGATACAGGAGAGAAGAAAAAAGAATCAAGGTGCAATATGTAAATAAACTAATTCCCCATAATGAATGAATTTATGTATTGCATACACTAATAAAAAAAGGGAAGAAAAAAGCACTCTTCCACTGAACCACATTCCCAGCCCGTGTAAGTATAATTTTTATCTGATCTGAATATGTCAATCACCTCAAGCTGTTTGATCATTTCCATTGACTGCTACATTAAAAACAGCTTGCAGTACTTCCCTTGCTTTAAGATAATTTACATTTAAATATCACCCAAGGCTTCCTCACCCATAAAAATATTTTTAAAATTAATGTTTCAAACTAATAAACAACAAAATCAAACTTTAAGTATTAAATTGCTAAATTGTTCCCCCAAATACTTTGGAATGCCATGTAGTTGGTGGGAGGGGAGAAGTTTAAAAATACAAATGTCTATTTTAGCCTATGCTCCAAATTTTCTCAAATTACTTTCATGTCATTTTGTTCCTACTGAAAAACAAATAAGCCAGGCATAATGGAACATATCTGCAATCCCAGCACTCGGGAGGCAGAGGCAGGATTGCTGTGTGTTTAAGGCCAGCCTGTATTACACAGTGAGGTCCAGGCTAGCCTGAACTATATGAACTATACAGAGCAAGACCTTTTTGCATTAAAAAAAAAAATCAATATATCTTCAACAGACTTAATCTAATTTGCAGAACAGTTTCAGGACATTTTGAATAATCATACCATTTACAAATATTAGAGCAGAACAAAATTTGGATCAAGTATTTAAAAAACTATAATTATACTCTTAGAACATCCACTGACTGAGAGAAGTTTCTTCAATACTAGTAAAGTATTTTCTGGGACCATTACAATATATCTAGACAATTATTTTAGCTTCATAGTAAGAGAACTTGTAATTGTACCACCAGAGAAGACAATTTTTTTTAAAAGTTGGTTAAATGAGATGTCATAAACGGGAAAAATCTAATTCACCCCTTATGTCAAACAATTTAACATTATGGACATTAAATAAAACACTTTTCTACATGGTATCTCCTTCACACTGTATCCACCGAGTATTTTAACATCTAGTACTTTCCTCTAACGGTCTTCAGCTTTAAATGGACCAACTCTGACAGCAGCAATTCTTTAAAGAGATGCCTATTGGGCTGGGGATTTAGCTCAGTGGTTCCGCTGCCTGCTTTGCAAGCATAAGGTCCCAAATTTGATCCCCAGTACCACCCCCCCCAAAAAAGAGATGCCTATTCTACAAGCTATTCTTTTCTGGGGACATAAATAGTATGTTCCGAAGGATCCCTAGATATTACTTATAAGCTTTCTTCCTCAAAATCAAGTTTCCCTATATTATATTCAAAAAATAAAATCACATTACAATCATGGAAAAACTTTTTTATATTAGGAGTTTAAAACAAGGTAAATGTAGTACACCTGCAGGTAGATACAAAGATTAAGAGCAAAGAATTTAAGTTTCCTCTGCCAATTTAAATGAAGGAGGGAAAAAAAGTAGACCTGTTTTCTTTTGGGCAGTGATAAAGATGCAAGATGAAAGGATGAAGTTGACATGCTACTGTTAAAATTGAAAGGCAATTATGGTTGACAATAATTAAATGTATACTTCGAAAGAGCTAGTAGAGAAGATTTTTAATTGTTTACAACACAAAGAAATGATAGGGCTGGGGATTTAGCTCAGTGGTGCCACTGCCTGCCCCGCAAGCACAAGGTCCTGAGTTCTATCCCTAGAATAAAAAAAAAAAAAAAAAAAAAAAAAAAAGAAAAAGATGAATGTTTGAGGTGATGAATATGCCAATTACCCTGTGTTCCATAAATAATGTATTATTATGTGCCCATTAAAAATAAATATAAATATATACTTTTTTTTAAAGGGGGATTCTCTTAACTATAGGGGTGATGTGTAACTGTTGACTCTTAATAAGACTTTGGGACTTCCAAATAGATTGGGAGAGAAGGGAATGGAAAGGGAAATTCTGCCAAATCTAAACATATTAACAATGAAATTGGTATGCTAAAATGCAAAACCACTTACTACACATCAACCACACATGGTTCACTTAACACTAGAAAAACTGAGAACTGAAATAAATATATTCCAGGAACTTCACTATGACAAAATGCTTATGCCACAATATTTAATCTACTTAGTTTCAATATTAAGCTTTATTTTTTTTCAGAGTGAGGTTAAGTAACAATTTAAATAATTATAGGATGTATAAATGAACATCCACTCAGATAAAACATTACTGCTTAAAAGTGGCTATCTAAGAAATATTTTGCATGTAATAAATATATTCTAAGTTTAGATTAACAGGCACCATCTTGAAAGGAGACAAGTTTATGTAACCAATAAATAAATTACATTCAATAAAACAAGGTCTCTACATCTGAAATATGATATATTCTTAATGTTTTTCTTCATATAGCACCCAAACTTCCAAACTGTTTAGAAAGTATCTCTTAAAATATAACTCATACCTCAAGTCATAAAAATGGCCAAGGAAAAAAAATCAATTGAGGACAAAATGTATAGTTTATATTCTTAATTCCCCATTCAATAAAATATCAATTGCCAATTTACTAAAGGTAAAGGAACCGCATATATGCAACCTGTTAGTGCTGAAAATCTGACATACACATGTATATTTAAACATCACTCTGATAGTATTTAAAATATTGCATCTCTGGTGGCAAACCTGAAAACTATCAGGCATTTCATTTTCCTAGTTTTCATACTTCCACCTCTATTGTTACCCAGTTTTTATCTTTAATATCCATTCATCCAACATTTTGTTTTGTTTGGTTTTGTAAATACCTTTTACTTATATCCCAACCAAAACACTGACAATATACCTTGGTAAACAAGGAAATCCCAGAACAGTCTGAGCATACAGCTTTGCTCCCAGAGTGCGGCACAGGCTAAATGATAAATAAAACAATCAATGCCCCTTATTGATGCAGTCAGAATGCTCCTGAGAGTCCATAATTTTGAGAATTTGCTGATGTAATCCTGAAGAAGTTTCAACAGATTCTTCAGACAAGGATCAGAGAATAAGTCTTTGATTGATAATTTTTCTATTTATTTCTGCCAAGGCGACTGAAAACACGAAAGCCTTTTCATCAGAGAGGTTAGCATAGATGTCAATTTCCTTTTCCTGTTTCTCTGTTAAAAGAAAAAGGAAAAGCTTAATATCAAGGTAGCAGATGCAATAATTTTAAAATGTTTTAATGCTTTAAAGTATTTCTTCAAATGACAATATTATGTATATTATAATATACAACATTATGCTACTAAATTGAAAAATTTTTTAAAGTACACAGAAGTACTAAAAAAAAGACCAAATAGTGACTATAGTATGTTTTCTAGAGTCTACAACTACAAATTTCTATAAAAATTTCAATTATTTCTCTTCACTGGTATGAAATACCTAAAAAAAAATTAAATTTCTCATTTTAGAAGATGGTCCCTTTTGAACACCAATGGTAACTAAATGAATATATTAATATCTTTAGCCCTGCTACAGGAAATAATAATTATATTTATTTCTGTTTTTCCCCTTATGATTACAAATGGATTCTAAGTTCACAGTAGAACAATTAAAAAAGAAAAAAACCCTGAACCAGCTGAAATTATACTTAACATCTTTATGTATATTCCTCTAAATTATTTTTTTGTGGTTCTATTTTTGTTTGGGATTTTTTTTTTTACTTGTTTTATTTGTTTTGACATTCTAATCCAGGTTAAACATGCATGTAATTTAGTCAAATCATCTTTACAAAAGTTGGTAAAAAAAAAGAAGTCCTCCCCCTCAATGAACATTTCCTACTTTCCAAATACAATTTTTTGTTTTCAGCTGCTCCTTTTCATTTTAATAAAAACCTGTTGCCTGGGGAATTAGCTCAGTGGTGCTGGTGCCTGACTTGCAAGCACAAGGGCCTGAGGTTCCATCCCTGGTACCAAAACAAAAACAAACAAACAAACAAACAAACAAAAACCTGTCTTGGGCTGGGGATTTAGCTCAGTGGCACCATGACTGCCTTGCAAGTACAAGGTCCTGAGTTCAATCTCCAATTTGGGGGGCGGGGAGAACGCATTTCTCTAACATTTTATAAGATACTTCCTGGTTTTAGGCATTACATATTCACTTTCTACCATGGAAATTTAGGATTGTTTTGCATCTCTTGCTCCACCATAAACACTCTCTTCATCTTTCATCTTCTCATTCTAGCTAAATCACAATTTTAGTAACATCAACATTTTTTTTCTGGTACCAGGGATCGAACTCACGACCTTGCACTTGCTAGGCAGATGCGGCACCACTGAATTACATTCTTGGCTCATAATTTTCAGTGTTTACAGTATCATGATTATGTGAGTCATTTTCTTCTTCCTGCATATTGTTTTCCCAGAAGGGATTCTCTCTTTTTATTTGCTTAGTTTTCATTTCAAATTCAACTCGAACTCTCCTAGTTGTAGAAACTGGTCACGATGTTAACATATATTAAATATTTTATCAGTTTCATCTTAAAGAAATCATTCCAAGTCTTACAACCTATTCCAATGTGAAATGGTTGCTCTTTAGGCCTATTGCTAATTATCATGTTGGGACTGCTCTTCAACATCACACTGGAACTTCTCGTCTCCCTCCTCAGTTAGATCCTCTCTGTCCTGAATCTCAGTATTCTTGCTTGATCGACTTCATTTTGGTGGCATGCAATTTGCAGAAGCTTCCTGAGAAAGGGGAGTATGGGGAGCAAAATTTTTGAAACCCTAAATACCAGAAAGTATTTTATCTTGAGTAAAGACTTCTAGGTTTCCCCTTAGAAATGTTAAGGTAATAAATTGTCTTGTCTGGCTCCACTGTTGAGAAAACCCAAAATCTTTTTATAGCTATTTAAAAACTTATTGCTGCCGGGCACGGTGGCACACGCCTGTAATCGCAGCACTCTGGAGGCTGAGGCAGGAGGATCACTGTGAGTTTGAGACCAGCCTGGGCTACAAAGTGAGTTCCAGGTCAGTCCAGGTCAGTCTCAACTACATAGTGAGACCCTGTCTCAAAAAACAAAAAACAAACAAACAAAAACTTATTGCTAATTTTATATTCAAGTGGAAAATTAAATGAGTTCTGACAAATGTATACAACCATGTAACCCAAAACACAATCAAGACAGAAAATTTTTTTCACTCTGGAAAGTTCTTCATGCTTTTTTCTAGTCAATCCCATCTTCACCAGCACCACTGTACTGATTTCTATTACAGCAGGCTCACTATCTTTTTTTTTTGTTTTTTTTTTGAGACAGGGTCTCACTATGTAGTTGAAACTGACCTGGAACTCACTATGTAGCCCAGGCTGGTCTCGAACTCACAGCGATCCTCCTGCCTCAGCCTCCCAAGTGCTGGGATTACAGGTGTGCGCCACCATGCCTGGCTTACTATCTTTTCTTAAACATCAGAATAGGGCCAAGGATTTAGTTCAGTGGCGTTGCCCCCTGCCTGGCAATTCCCAGTACAAAAAAAAAAAAAAAAAAATCAAAATAAATAGTATCATGTAGTATGTATTCTTTTGTGCATATTTTCCTTTGTTTATTTAGTGCTGTCACATCAGTTCATGTAGTCTGCTGCTTGCTAGTATTCCACTGTTATTAATTCTAATACCCTTTTGATTCATTTCCCCCTTGAAAACCTAGAAAGTCTTCTTTAATCAAAAATATAGAATGGCATGCTTTAGTATAATTTCCATTTGTAACTATACATTGTTTTCTTTTTTAGTACCAGGGATTGAACTCAGGACATTGCGCTTGTGAGGCAGGCAGCGGAACCACTAAGCTAAATCCCCAGCATTATTTGTAACTATACATTGGATCAGGAAGTTTATGGTCTCTTCCCTCCTCCCCCCAGTACCAGGGATCAAAATTGGGACCTTGTGCTTGCAAGGCAGACGTTGCACCACTGAGGTAAATATCCAGCCTTCATGGTCCTTTTAATAAGGAAACTCAATATCCTTCAGGTTTGGGAAATTTTGTTGAAACATTTCACTGATGACGGCCTTCTCCTCCATCTTGTATGCTCTTTTTCCAAAACTTCAGTTATTTGTAGATGTTAGACTTCAGACTGGTCCTCTAAATTTCTTATCTTTTCCTTTCTATTTGTTTTTTCATCGCTTTTCCTACTGTTATTCTTTCTGGAATTGTTCTATTGTTTGTTTTTTTAATTTCTATGACTCATGTTCAAATTTTTAAAATCTACTTTAAAATTCATACTTTGAAATTCATTTCCCAAGTACCTCCCTGATGTCTACAAATTGACCTTTTTTTGGTACTGGGATCGAACTCAGGTCCTTGCGTTTTCAATGGAAGCAGCAGAACCACTGAGCTAAATCCCGGCCCCGTACAATTGCCTTTCAAATACCATCTTGCTTCATCATACCTTGTTTTGCTAAGGAGAGTAATGGTTAAATTTTTTTCTCCCTCTCCCTGCAAAAACTTGTCTTCTCCAAATTATCTTTTCTTTCCTTGAGATTTAGTCTGACTTTCATACTAAATTATTTTTTCTATATATCCAAATAATTCCTGATAATATGTTCACATTTAAAAGTGTAAGCAACAAAGCTGATTAGAAACATGTGCACCTGAATAGAGCTTAACTATAGTTATCAGATCACAAAGTTCTAAGTGGGCCATTTATTTGTGAAATTGCTAATGACAGTATATATTTTTAATTTAGGCCTTTTCTTAGGCTCTTTAGATTCCCTAGAGACAATTATTTCCAATGTTTCACCTGGGAGATAATAAGTCTAACCAGAGAACTCAATATTTATCAGGCCCGATTTTTACCTGGTCTTCTCAGGCTTAACTGAAGTATCCCCACCCTCAACCATGCCTGGTGTTGCCTAGACGACTACAGTCTGTTTTATTTTACCTTTTTCAAAGGATAAACTTGGCAGGTAAGAGACCTTTATATTTTTCTTTTTTCCTATTCATTTTTCAAAACAAAACAAGAATGAAGTTTTAAAAACTTTTCTTAAGTACATTATCAGGTGTCCCTTAATTCATCTGCTAAAATAGCTAAAACTTGCTCCAAAATCTAAATAACTTAAAAGCAAAGAATCTATAAAAACTATTAAAGTAGTTACTTATTCCTAAGCTTTACCAAAGGATTCTAAAATACATAGATATTTCAAAGTTCATAGTCACTATTCATATTCTATTTAGAGAACAACAGTCTACATCAGGATTGGCAAACAACGGTCTGGGTGCCAAATCTCAGCCACCTCCTGTTTTTAAAATAAAGTTTTACTAGAGCACAGCTATGCTCATTCATTTACCTAAGGTTTATGGTTGCTTTCTAGCTACAATGACAGAGCTGAGTAGTTGTGACAATGATTGTCACAAAGCGTGAAGTATTTATTAGCTAGTCCTTTGTGGGAAAAGTTTGTTGACTTCCCTGTCTACATTAAAATATTCCACTTTATATCACAGAAATAGCTTTGAGCTATTCTGTGCAATTTGTATCAAAAGCAAATTTAAAAGCATATCTTATTCTAGAAATAGCTTTAAAACTTTCCATAGTAAACTGAAAAATATTTACAGCCAAATAAATCCTTTTTTCAACTTAATCATGAAATAAAAATTCAAGTCTATATAAAGCCCTAGCACAGTTGTACAGACTTCATTTAACAAACTAAAAAAACCCATCATTATCTGTTTCCTCATCTCCTCTGACCATCAGAAGCGTTCCTTCTCAGTTCTTTCAGTTATAGTCCTTTTACTCCAACTGAAAAGAATGTTCTGGTTTTTGGATCAAACAGTATTTCTCTTTTCTTTCTTCTCTGTTGACTTCTTTCCCTAGTTTCCCTTCTAAAATCATCCCTGATATAGACTTTCTGATGATCCCATTATTAAAGAAACATTCAAATTAAGCAAATAACTCAAATTCTCTGGAAGAGCACAACAGAAGGAAAGAGAAAAATATAGTAAAATTACCCAGAAAATTAAAGGGTACCTAAGTACTGCCTTCACAGAATACAATCAATATCGTAAAACATAAACCTTATTTCTTTAGTCACACATTAAGACACCTTTAACTTTGATAGAAGCCAATGACACCAGCAAAGTTATTTTCCCTAAGACTCCTTTACAGTTAGTTATACCCAGCTGCAATCAGTAGCAAGTCTTTGTTCAAATAAAAACACACAAAGCATAGAGAAATGGTAAATAGTAGAAAATTCTGTTTCTCAACAGAAATTTACAAATTAGTACCTAAGACTAAATATCTGAAGAAAGGCAAAGCATAATACAAATGTAAAAAATTACAAATCCATTTCACTGAAAATCCTTTTTACAGAAGTTTTTAAAGTATTACAAAGAATAATTATCCCCTTTTTCATTAATTACTGGTTTGAAAAATCATCCCCCCCGCCACACACACACACACACACACACACACACTCACTCTCTCTCTCTCTCTCTCTCACTACATTGCCCAAGCCGGTCTCAAATTTCCGGCTCAAGCAATCTCCCTGCCTCAGTATCCCAAGTAGCTGGGACTATTGACACATGCCACTGTACCCAACTGAAAAACTCATTTTTAACTTGAAAAATCATCCCCCCCGCCACACACACACACACACACACACTCACTCTCTCTCTCTCTCTCTCTCTCACTACATTGCCCAAGCCGGTCTCAAATTTCCGGCTCAAGCAATCTCCCTGCCTCAGTATCCCAAGTAGCTGGGACTATTGACACATGCCACTGTACCCAACTGAAAGTCTCATTTTTAAAAGGATATTCAAGGGGGGGATTTAGCTCAGTGGTTCTGCTGCCTGCCTTGCAAGCACAAGGACCCGAGTTCAATCCCCAGTACCAAAAAATAAAATAAAAAAAGGAAACAATTAAAAAAAAAGTGTCTAGCTTTTAAAAGGATATTCAAGGATATTCATAGGCACAGAGGGATGCATTATGCTATTCTCTCTATTCTTATGCTGAAATATTTTTGTGGTAAAACTTTTTCTAACGATATATATTATAAAATAAAGATATCGTTAGAAAAAGCGAAAGTTTTAATTAACAGTAAAAACCAGTCATCAGTAGACACATTACTTGCCAGAACAAAGGAGAACACCTGTAAGAAAAAACAGAAATTCACTTTGGATCAGGAAGAATTTACCTAACCATACAAACACTGCCTCAATGTAGGGAGCACACAAATCTCCCAATATGCAATTTAAAAACTAACACCAAGAATATTTTAAGTAATAAATGTTTAAAATTCACAGAATAACAATTTTAAATAAATCTTAATTTGGTCTTGCCTTTAAAAAAAAAACTACAACAATTTTATTAGGCTTCTCAAAGATGTCCAATACAAATTAGTACCTCTGAACTCTACTACCATCAGTTATAGCAAACTGGATTTACCTAATTTAAGTCTTTAGGTTTCCACTAAGAATTTCTGTATTTTTAAAAATTAAGCATCTACCATAGAGGAAATGCTTTCAAACTAAAATATGAGTTATGATTTTAACTATAGGAGCTTAAGTCCTCCACTTTCTTCACTACTATCTGAAATCTTTGATCAATACTTGAGAAAAAGCTGCTTGGATTTATTCATACCTCTTTCTTCCTCATGTTTTTTGGCAGATGCACTTTTAGGTCTTCCTCTTCCTCGTCTGATATGATCTGAATGGCTGTTACTTCGAGACCTCTTTCTGTTTTCTAAATCTTTATTTACTGTAGAATTTATCTTCTCTCTCCTAACTCTCTCTGTTCGCCTCCTCTTGGCCTCATGCTTGTTTTCTGTATGGATGAATAAAAGTGATATATTTTAGGGCTTAGCAAGAACTATTTGCCCAAGTTCTCATTGTCTCCCTTTTATTTTCTAAATAGCACTAGGATAAGCTTCCTGGCATGTTTTATAAAACTGCAGCATATGTCCCCCTTAGCCACATAGAAAAAGAGGAAACTCAACAAAATTCAGATCCACAAAATACATGAGTTATGAGGAATATTGGAAGATAAAACAAGTTTCTTTTGACTGCTTTAATTTCAGCCCCTAAAAGTGCAAACAATTCCACAGCAATTTTTCTGCATTTTTCCCCTCCTGTTTCCAAGTTAAAAATGGTAAAATATAAGGGGAAAAAATTCCATTCCTTTTTGTACTCTACTTGAATTACAGATTGATATATGTCAAATATGCAGAAGTGAAACTGACCTTAGACATAATACATTAATATTCTAATAAAAGTCAGAGAGCATCCATAGAGCATATTTTTCAAACACTAGAAAAGCAAACAACATTCAGTTAAGAATTTTGTTCCCTAAGTGGAACTGCAATAGAGGAATTTACTAAAAGAGTCACTTAATTAAAGAAGTTACCCATCCACTCTAAACAAATAAAAATGCTATGACAAAAACTTAACAAAAAATAAGGCCAGAATGGTGGCATATACCTGTAATCCCAGCTACTCAGGAGGCTGAGGCAGAAGGATCACAAGTCGGAGGATAGACTGAGCAACTCAGCAAGAATCTGTCTCAAACAAAAAAACAACAACAAAAAAACAAACAAACAAAAAAAGCAACTGAAAAAAGAGGATGGGAAGCTGGCATGTAGCTCCAGGCTAGAATGCAAGATTAATATCCATGAAACCCTGGGTTCAATCCCCTGGTACTACAAAACAATAAAAAATAAAAACACAAAACAAAAACCTATTTTAATATATACTTGAATCAAAAAAGAAAAAGAAATCTCTAAATGCCAGTAGAAAAGGGGTAAAAACAAATGGAAAATTCATATCCCAACAACTAAAGGAAAAATGTTAAAGACTATAGTAAACTACTGTAGAAAAAGATAAAAGAAAAGGTAAAATAGTAACAATTATCTCTAAATATGTACATATCCTTGGAGAATCAGTTCTAAGTCTGAGATTCAACATACACTGGATGACAAAAGAACATTATTAGAAAGCTATCAAAGACAATTGGGGGTCTATTACAACACTCAGGGTCTAACTTTAAAGAGGCACCCACTGGCCACGATAAGAAAATTTGAACATCAATTACAAACAACTGTAATAGATCGAGTATATATTAATAAAGCATTTATCCTGTCTTTTCCTTTTTCTTTTTTTTTTCTGAGACAGGATTTTGCTATGTAGTTCAGGCTGGCCTTGAACCTGTAAGGATCTTCCTGCTTCAGCCTCCCAAGACATGACATTACAGGAGTGCACCCACACCAAGCACTTATCCTGCTTTTTCTTTTCAAATTATACCACTTATTTGTAAACCAAAGAGCAGAGGAAGAAAAGCTTTCTAGTTTATAATTATTAAAGGTAATAAAAGTGATTGACAGAATCAAAATTATTTAAAATCAGAGAATTATTTTTCAAGCTGTAACAAACTAAAAGGTCTAATAAGCACTATTTATTAACTACTAACCTCACTAAGATAAATAAGCAGGCTTCAAGTGCCTTCTTACAGAAATACATAATTGCTAAGTATTAAGTAGTCATGTTAAAAAAAAAATCCAGTATGTATTATCAGTGCTTAGATTCAACTTCAACTTAGAAAAAAACAGAAGTAGCCAGGCGCGGTGGTACACATCTGTAATAACAGTACTCAGGAGCCTGAGACAAGATCACAGTGAGTTCAAGGCCATCCTGAACTACATAGGAAGACCCTGCCTCAAAGGGAAAAAATGGAGGGAGGGAGGGAGGGAGGAAGAAAAAGAAAAAGGCAAGGCAAGGCAAGGCAAAGCAAAAGCAAAGCAAAGCAAGATTTCTATTCAAACAATGTGTTAATCTACATCATGAGGATAGACGGAGCACATAAAGGGACAGGAGAGGCAGTTTTTCCATTAAATTTGCAAGGGATAAAAGGGACAGAAACCACAAAAGAGTGTTTAAAAAGACACTGCCTGTATGCGATTTGTGAACCTTATTTTGGATGGTTTTTTTTTTGGGGGGGGTATCAGGGATCGAACTCAGGTCCTTGTGCTTGTGAGGCAGGCACCAGAAGCACTGAGCTAAATCCCCGGCCCTGGATCTGTTTTTTAAAACTTTAAGATCATTTACAAGAAAACTGAAAAAACTGGACAGAAGTTAGAATAGTCACTATAAAGGATGGTTAATTTTGTATGTTACAATGGTAATGTTTTTTAAAGGTCTATCTTATACAAACATATAAAATACTTAATAACAAATTTTATGGGAATTGCTTCAAAATAGTAAGTGGGAGTGGGTGTGAATAAGGCAGGGTTGGCCACTGCCTATTTTTGTTTAGAATTTCTTGCTTAAAAAAGTTAAAATGTGACAGGTAAATCTTTACACAGTGCACCCCTTAAAGTTTAACACTGAATTTAAGTTTTTTCTAGCTATTCACCCTCCTCTGCACATTTCTTCAGAGATTCCTGTACTTTCTAACCTCTTGATTTCTTCCCTCAAATGTTTCTCCTACAACCTTAATCATATTAGTAAACAGCACCAACCAGTTACGTGAGCAGAATAATCTGTCACTTGTGACTCATCCTGCTCCTTTGATCACCACACAGGTGATAAAATATATTGCAAAATACATTCACAATCTCTTCATTTTTCTTCCCCTGGAGCAATGCAGGTAACACCCTTGTCAATCCTACTGTCTACACAACAGCCACTATTATCTTTTTAAAAAATCAAGTTCATAGATCCTCTATATTAAGGCCATTCATCAGCTTTGGTAATGAAAAGCCTTTTGTTTGCTTTACATTTTATTTAGAAGAAAGCAAAAATCCCTTACTGAAGACCCAAGTCCCCATAATGTCTGACATTCGCCTTTCTCTCCAAGCTCATGTCACAATGACTTTTGTTCTCTACACTCCCAACACGCCTTTCTTCTAATAAAACAAGCTCCACCCACTGCTCCGTCTGTATTTGCTAACCCATCTATCAAGAGCTCTCTCCCCAAAGCTCTTCATGAGACAGGTTTTTTGTCCCTTCAGAAATCAATTAATAGGCTACTCCATCTGGATCTCTCAGCCCAAATTACTTTCTATAATCTATTCCTATTTACAATCTGTTATTTACTGACATGCTTAATATGTCACCCCCATCAATACCAGCTTTACAAAAGTTGAGACTCCTTTATCTTCTTCACAGAATCTAGAACATTAACTACATACAGTAAGTAATGCTAAATAAATAGATTGCATACATCCATTTTCTTAACACCTTTTTCAAAATACCATTGAGATGAAGGTTAACATGGTAAAAGGGAAAAAGGAAAATCCAGGGTTGAAAAGGAAAAAAAATGCCTTAAATTATCAGAAATTATAGAATTTCAGTAAAATGGAAAGACAAGCATTCGGATTAAGAAACCAGAATAGAAGAAACTATCATCCAAAACAGGAATAAATGATGGCTCTTATATAAAAGAGAGCTGTTCCTCTCAAGAGACTCCCAAAGGTACTGCAAGAACAGGACAAAAGTAAAGGGGAGCTAGCTACTGGGGAGCTATAGGACCACAGAAGAATAGCTGGGCCTTTACAGAGGAATTAACAAAGGAGGTAAAGCTAAGGAAATGGATTTTCAAATCTCCTTAAGAAAAAAGCAACTCCTTCTAGGAAGGAAATACTGCAAGAGATTCCACATTTCCCCCCAGAACAAAATCTTCCTTATTTTGGCAACAATAATACTAATCAGTGTCCTGCCCCAGCTTCCCAGAGGGCCAGAATTATAGGAGTGCACCCTTTTGCCTTCCTAACACTGCTTTGTTAACACTCATCTCTCTTCCTTTCACCAAAATTAATTTTAAACTTTTAAGAAATTCCTCAGGTTCTACAACACGTGTGTGTGTGTGTGTGTGTGTATACACACACATAAACATATATATAATCTGCTAGACTAAGTTCTATGTAGTTTTATTCTTCTACTTCCCTATTTCTATGTATGTTATAAAGTATAAAAATGATTAGTATATATCAAAAACAAGAACACTACCTATACAAATCTATTTAACCTAACAGTTCCAGTAAGTTATAAAATGTATTTAAATTAGAAGTTTCAGCCCATGGAATTTTTAAAAAATCTTTTTTGTCAGATTTCATTTTTCAAATGAGAAATTACAATTTGAGCTGTAGTAACTGTTCTTTCACTTTGGGAGGCTGACACATGAGGATCCCAAGTTCAGATCCGGCCTGGACAATTTAGTAAGACTGTCTCGAAGTTTTAAAAAGGGCTGGGGATACAGCTCAGTACAAATGAGTTCAATCCCCATTGCAACAAAACAAAACAAAAACTATTTTTTAAAATGCTTAATTATTGTTGGGTATGGTGGCACACCCCTATATTCCCACCACTTGGGAGGCTGAGGCAGGAGGAGGATCACAAGTTCGAAGTCAACCTGAACTATAGCTAGACTGTTTCAATAAATAAATAAATAAATAAACAAACAAACAAATAAATAAATAAAGTTCAATTATGCAAACAAAAGTCTTCCTTACCTCTGTTCTTCTTATGTAGTGATATATCTATCTATCCTCACACATTTACTAGTTAGTACTAAATGTATAACTCATTTGATGGTAAAGTACTTCCTAGCATGTGTGAGGACCTACCTGGGTTTAATCCTCAGCACGGGGGTGAGGGGACTAAGTAAGAAATCCACTTTTGGGAATTTAAAAACAAGCAAGTTCATTCTATACACATTATTTTGCACTTTTTCTTAAATAGTGTTTGATTTTTCATGTCAGTACATAAAATCATTCTAATTAGTACATACTGTTCCCTAAAAGATGTATCCTACTTTATTTAACCATTCTTCTA